GATAAGTAGAATAACTTCAGAGTGCTTTTCAGGGGAACTTTGCTAGCAGTCATAGAAGTGCTCAAGATAAGAAAGGTGTTCTAGTATGGTCCAATGAGCACAATAAAGAACGTGAACACTTCCTCCCTGATAACACGTTACATTCTCTGTTCAATTATTGCTACTTTCTGGCGAATACATTCAATCATGTAGGTAGAATTCCACGTGGCTTGTAAATCACTTTTAATGGTGTATGGTGCAGCAACAGAGAAGAATGAGTGTAAAACATTTTAGGATCTCAAATATGTATTTTATTTGACTTCTCGGGTAAATGGGTTCTGGTTTTGTCAAGTACACTATACATTTACAACTTCATCATCATACATAGGTCAACTTTAAAGGCAGGTTAGAAGTTAACTTATTAATTTTGGGATTTGAAAAATCAAATTGTGCTCTTTCTGTCAGTTACCTGATCTTCAGTGAGACTTTAACTGGTAGTTTTAGTGAAGATGCACAAGACAAGCTCATAGTTCATAGTAGTATTTGACATACTTCTGTTAATGGTAGTAAAACTTTGGTCTGTCAGTAAAAGAGATGTGCTTTGGTATGTGAGCTTTCATAGCATGAGCAAATCAAATGTGATATTTCCCTGGTGTCTGCAGTGTCACTTTAGAAGTCTGAGAGGATAACCAGTACATAATCTTTGGGTGTTTTACTTTTAATCTTAGATGCTGAGGGAAATTCTGACTCCAGCAGTGTCAGTGGAAAAACTGGCCAAGAAAATATGTTGGGTATAGTTACTTCAGTTGTAGGAGACAATTGTCATTTAAGCTTGTAGTAGGTTAAACGTAGGTTTCATTTGAAGTACCGTATTTCACAGTATACAAGTCGAGTTTGATTTTTAGGACACAAAAATTGGGCTTCAAAACTCCACTTACACACTATACCACATCAAAAAATCAGGGACAAGGCTGGGCTCGATGCTTGGCTGGCGCAGCCCCATCCCCTGTGAGCAGCGCTGATGGAACCACTAGCAGGGGATGGGGCCTTGTCAGCTGAGCCTGGCCCTGTATCCTGCGAGCAATGCTGCCGAATGCCGAGCCCAGCGCTGCTCCCAGGGGATGGGGTTGGGCTCAGCACTTGGCTGGTGCAGCCTCATTCCCTGTGAGTGGTGGTGGGCTTGGTGTGCGGCAGCACCGCTCACAGTGGCCCCATTCCCTGTGACCACCAGCAGTGCCACTTGCAGGGGATAGGGCCACACCAACAGAGTGCCGAGCCTGACCCTGACTTACGCACCGTGCCTATGAAAATCCTTACCTTTCAGATTAGAAAGCCCGGGGGTTGACCTATACACCTTGTCAACATGTACACCATGAAATACAGTAGGTTAGAGGCAAACTGGCCATCTGTAGTAATTGAGGGCATGTAGTGTTGATGTTGCTTGGCCTATCTGAGTAACCCAAATAGTTTTATTTTTAGACTTAAGTTTAAATGTTGTTCAGGAGCCTGTTGCAGTCTTCTCTTTTAGATTTCATAGAATGAAGATATATCCTGTTTTGCTTTTTCTTTCATTAAGAATTGCAGAAAGACCGTGAAACAAATCTTGTATTTTACAGTCTTGTAGAACTCAGACGAGCTTCTAATGGTACAGGAGACAAAACACAAATTAAAGTTGTTAAGAGACAGTGGACGGAAGATAACAGAACACACACTGCAGGATGAATTCGTTTGGGAGGTTCCCAGGACTGGCCCAGGCGTGTTGTACTGCTGTGGAGTAATAGCCTTGGTTCTCATCTTACAAATACTATATTGCACCTATTTCTTGCCTCCCATTTTTGTCTGGCTGAATAGAAAGGTGTTCATCCTTAGCTGTTGGAGGCTTATGAGCATGGCAGGGAAAAGGGGAGAGAGGTTGTGGGGAGCAGGAAAGACTTAAAAAAACAGCAGGAAGCTACAGAGACGAGAGTAGTTTCTGAATGGGCTAGTCATTGTATCTTGATCCTGTAATAGACACCCGGGAGTGAAAGGGTTCTTCCATCTACTTGATCTTGTATACTGCAGTCTGAAATAGTTTTTATACTTTCCACTTAAGTTAGACTAACAAGCCGATGTGGGAGCATTACTGTGCTATTGGCTCTCTGAAAGATCCATTGCATATTCCCTGGTATATAGAAGAGCCACAAAACCCAATGAAGGCATTTATTCTGGTTCGCTTGTGCATGTGCACTGAACTGGGACAGTACCCAAGATCCCTGCCAGTTTGCCTTGCATAGCATTCTTCCTGTATATCAGTGAGTGATATTTTGTTGGAATGCTCTCACTAAAAGTCAGTTGAGAATAAAAAGCCATAATGCAGTTTTTTCGGGGTGGTTGGTCCACTCTGCCATCTTCTCCTGACTCCATCACTTAGAACAAAAAATATTTAGTTTTATCAATAGCTTTAAAATGTTGCTCACTTCCAAGTCAAACTTTTTTCTTTCGTACTGTGGCTACTGAGTCTGGCTTTGTGCTTTGTGCCAGCTGCCCCTGCAGTGCTGCATCCAGGCTCTCCTGATTGCCTTGTAATGTATTCAGACTGCCTGATCCCCTTTCTCAAGCTGTCAGAGTAGTTTTGCTGCTCCTCTAACATTGTCAGCACTTGGAAAACAATATTTTCCATTCCAAAATTATGCATTCACTATACGAAGCTGGTTAGAAACAATCTGTCCACACAGCTTCCATGTATTCCCTGGTTTGGACTAGGGAAGGAAGTGGGAATACAGAAACTGATAGAGACTGTTCTCATGGTACCGATGGTCTGGCCAGAGCAAAGCTAATGCAGCGTCTTACAAAGTTATGTTTAAAAATAACTTTCCCAAAGCTCTGTTTGAATTCAGCCCAAGAGATGATGAATTGAGGAATGCCATTTATTTGTGGAAGTGGTTTGTGTTTTGGAAACGTGAGGCACTGAAGTGATATTCTGTAGTTGTACAGTAAGGTAAAGGCAAGACCCTCGTTCATGTGCTTAGATCGCATTTGTGTGTGACCTGCAAATTTTCTGTTTTGTTTTTGTGGAAGTGCTTAACTAGGTTCAGCCTTATCTGTTAAAGACTGGGGAATGATACTACTGTGTATCATCTCATAATTATAATGCTGTGGGTGTTGATTGCTTTTAGAATTTCAGTATGGAAAACGTGGCACTTTTCATAGGCTGCCTTAGACTGAGTAATACAACACCTTTTCTCAGCAAGCCTTGATCCAGTGTTCTTAAAATATTGGCTAGCCTTTAGTAGACTCTTACATTACATCATTGGGTTTTAAATGTTACATTTCTCAAGGTTTTATGGGGTTTTTTTAAATAACAATATTTTAGTTTTTCTTTCAATAAATCATTTAGCTACTATAGATACAGAAAAGATGATCTAGAGGTTTGCAGTTCAAGAGGCTAGACCTATTCAGTTTAGAAAGCAGATGCTTGGAGGGGGTGGGGTCGCATAGAGGTTTACAAAATACTAAATGCCGAAGAGGAGGGGAGTTACTTACTCTCTCCACCATACAAGAACTAAGGGTCACAAAATGACTCCTTAGGTAGTCATTTTAAAACTAACAAAGGAAGCTTTTTCACAGTGTGTGTAATTAAAGCTTGGAACTCATTGCCACAAGACACTGTGGAAGCTGACAGTTTACTCAGATGCAAAAAGGGATTGGACGGATTCTTGGAGGAAAGGTGCATCCATAGCAGTTAAGCATGGGAGTGAGGGGTACAGCTCTGAATTGGAATTTCCTAGACCTTAAATGCTAGAGGCTGCTAGTGAGAGAGGAACAGTATGCGTGTAGGGGGGAGACCCTGTTCACTCTTCCTTTCCGTATCCATTCTCTGCCATAGTGCAACACAGAATACTGAGCAAGATGGATGTATAGTCTGCCAGAGTAAATGGCAGTTCCTATGCTCAGATTCCAAATGCTAGGCTCTTAGTATTTTTAAACATAATATAGTTTATAATAAGTCTCCAGAATGAAGCTCGGTGGGTTTTTCTAATGGTTAACATGTAAATCTGTTTCAGGAAGCATGGAATAATTCTGTTCCTATTAAAGGTTGACTAACTTCACAATATTTAATATGCAATTCATTGCATTCGACTTGAAGTGCTGTGTTTGACTTGTATCAGAAGAAAAAAAAATTCAAAACACATACTCTTTAGATGTGAATATGAGGTTCTCTTGATAGCCAAGTCTGTTCTCAGCAAACCATGTGTGTTTTGTTACCAGTTTGCTGCTTTACATTTTATTACGTGAAATTCTTGGCTACCATTCTTAGCTCTCCTCCCTCTTCTCATCTTTACATTTGTGTGCAAGGTATTTTCTATACATCTAGGATGTTATACTGGAAGGGAATGCAAGGAATCCCTGGGTTTGTGTAACTGATATTAGCACTGTCTATTTTTGTAAAAGAATGCTTTAATTTATGTTCGGTTTTTTTGTTTTTGTTTTTTTTTGGGGGGGGGGGGG